AGACACATTATCTTTTTGGGCTTAAATTTTTAGTATATAATTATGATCACGTAAGGAGAGTGGAAAAAGTGTATTATATAACCTTTGCCTCCAGTGATTCAATATCAATTAATTCAAATGGCATAAACAAGATTTCCTGCAAAAAGATTTTTATAGATCAATCCCATTAAAACCAATCTTAGATAGAATAAACTGTTTATATACTGAACTTTGTATATTAAACACATGCATTTAATATTAATGTTGTTTAAATTACTTCTCAGACAGCATAAACAAGTAAGTACATCACATAGATATTAAAGGAGACTGACCAAAAAACTGAACAATATGAGCATTTTATTGAGTTTTGAGTTACACGTTATTGAAATCATTCAAACACAAATAGTACATTTAGCATATTTTAAGTCAGTAAGATTGTGCCCAAGCAATAAAGTATTGGTGCAAAATATTTAAATGTTTCCTATTTTCTTTAAACATATGAAAGTAAAATGCTTTCACACAAATCATTCATATTATATTGGGTAGCCTGATGGCAACTGAAGTCAGTCAGTATTTAAGACACATATAATCTACTGTTATTAAATAGTACTCATTCACCTATGATTTATGTAATTTACCTGTGTGAGCTATGTAAGCCAGGTGTTATGTCACTTTAATCAGATGATCTATGGTTGTTTTTTATTATATTCTATACAGGATTAAAATGAACCCCATAGATAAAACCTAAAGGAGTTAAATAATAATAATAATAATAATAATAATTATTATTATTATTATTATAAAGCCCCGCACAAAAATGATGAAAATTGGAAAAAATGACATTAAAGAGCCCATGAAATGTATTAAAATACTGATCAAACATTGAAAAAAATTGCAGCAAATAGTACTTGATATATGTAGATCTACCTTTTATATGAAGTTTATGTCTAACATCAACATGGCATAACAAGTACAAGTACAGTGGGCAGAGAGAGAGAGAGAGAAAAAAATGTAGAAGTAGCGGTATTTAAAGTGGTGTGTGTACGAGGGGGGGGGGGAGGGGAGGGATTATTTAAACTGGTACCATATACTTCAGTGGTACTCTAATGTGTAAGTAGCTTACACCAACTGTAAATAAGCCACTTCTAGACATACCTGTAGTTCAGTCTTGTTCAAAGTTAACTTAAGGGACTGGTAAATCTCTTTCGCTGTTTTTTCCTGTTAAGTGGCTAGCTGATTAGGTAATTCTAGATGCATTAAGTCTCAGACATGTTCATTAAGCTCTCATCACTAAGTAACACTTGACTGCGTAAGTGCTATTTCAGTTCTTAATTTGATGTGCCTCATTTGTTTTTTTTTTTTTTTTTTGAACACTCAAAATAACGTACCACATTATTTCTTCACCTAAAACTACTTGAAGTATTATTTGACAGTTTTTTCCATCCTTTGTATGTGTAATGTAAATTATGGAAAAGGCAAGTTAAAAATACAAACTAGACCCATCAGTGTTTTTTTATAAAGCACTTCAAATGTTAAAACCCCAGCAATTTTTGCTTCACTTCAGTTTTTTAAGAACTATGAAAAGTAATACTCCTGCAGTTTTGCTTTACCGCAAACCCTGTTGAAAAAACTAGTTATTATGCTTCTTTGAGGTATTATAATTATTGTTACATTTATTCATTCACAGGAATTTACTGAGATCAATTAATTATCACAAATAGTTTAATCTACACTTAATGGACTAAGATTAGCACACTGGTTTGTCATTCAATGATGACTTAAATTGTCTTAGAGGTCATTCACCTTGAATCTATGAGTTCACCTGGACCAAGTTTCACAAGTAACCTTTATCATTCTAAGATAAATTAACTGAAATGTCAATTCTGAGACCCTATGGGGAAGGCTTGTCCAATTAGAAATTCCTAAATTTAGGTTGCACAATAAATCTGGTCTCTTTAGTAGATTGGTACTAGTAATATTTTTAAAAAATATGGCTACCTGGTTAAGACAAACGGGACACTTGTCTCATCTGTAAATTTTCCATATTTATTTGACAGATAAAGCTAGCCATGCATTGGGAACTACCTCTCCCCCCACCCAGTAGCTGGGTTAGCTTGTCTGGTCACTTTTGAACCTCAGTCAGTGTAGATCGAGTTCCTCCCAACCCAAGTTTTGCATTTTTTGCTTCTGTCAGGGAGGCAAATAAGCCATAGCCTTTGCTGGCTTGTTAGTTAACAGCCTAAAAAGAAGTTAAGAAAGAATTTTGATAAAATGTTCAGGAAATGTCAGGAATGGTGCCCTATTTATATTGGTAAAATGCAGCACTGCACAGGCTTCATTTGCATGTGTTCCAGAGCAAGCACACATAGGTAGGGAGCCTCTATGTATAGGGTGGAAATGGGCTAACAGAGAATTAAGTAGATTTTGTTGGTGATCCATAAATTGATTGATTAATTAATAAGAAGAACTGAATGGCCTTGGTGAGGGTCTGTACTCTCTGTCAGTGCTTTTCTAGTTGGAATCATCAAAAAACCAAAGGACAGATAGACATCAACTATTTTGGTTCTTATCTTAATAATGAATAACTATTACTTTAACTCCTATGGCAAAATGGCATTAGCAGGCCTTGGGGGACATTAATTAACCTTGCTTACAGTGATAGGCAAGAGTCTGGCTCTGCTCCGTCACTGCCCCCGTCATCGCCCCCGTCAACACCTACCACTTAAACATAATTAAGTTATTCCCTATTAACAGGCAACCTTTAAGCCAAGTTATCCAGAGGAAATGAGTTAACTAATTGATGTCTAAACAGTCTGTCAGGAATTGCTTTCTGTATAACCTAAGCAGCCATGTCCAGTATAGGTGCGTCTTGTAGGTCCGAAGGTTCATTGATCTGAAAAATCGTTACATTATATCATTTTATAAAAGGGCGAATTGGTCTGAAGGTTTTAGAGTGAAAATCCGGACCAATGAGCCTCTGTGCTATTGTCATGCACCTGTCCAGTGAAGGCAGGCTGCCATGTTGTTGTACAGTATGTAATTTAAAATGGGTTATGACTGAATAGTTGCATTTCAGTACTTCATTTAGTTAAATGGATAAAATGGTCCCTCCAGATGAAATCAGAACTTATTTAAAAGTTAGAAAGCACTCCAAGAGTCCAGCTAGACCTCCACCAAGGAAAAGGTCAAATAAGAATTCTTTTTAAAATATTGAAGGGGATGGGATTCAGGTGAAATTGTAATCAGTTCTCTCCTGCCAAAATAGCTGTTTATCCTGAAAAAATTCATCAAAATTTGTAAACAGATACATTGTCCACCAACAAAAAGACAAATCAATGCTAATGTAAACATAACCACCCTAATTTTTTAGAAGTGATAAAGCAATATTTTTTATAATTCTGTGGGATACAGACAGACAGGGAGTGAAAGATTAGTTCCTAGAAAAGGCACGCTAAAACCTCCTTGTGTGTTGGCATTTTATTCTGTTGGTAATGTGGTGTATCAGAGAAAGTCTGCCAGCAGGTGCTAGCACTCCTATAACATACCAAAATAACCCGAAAATCTACTTGAAAGTTTCGAATATACTGTATTGAGCCAAGGTTTTACCAGAGTCATTAAATTCAGGAACCCATGCATCGTGCTGTTTTGAATATTTGGCTCTCTCCAGATATATGTAGCACTCCTGGATCCTGGAGGCGACCAATATGACCTGAGAGTAGTCTGCCCACCTGACCTTATGTTTCCTGGTGTTTTTCCTCCCACCTGCTGCCCCTTACAGCCTTATACCAACATGATGTGGCCATACTCATGAAGGAACAAAAATACCCATCCTCCTTGTGGTGAATATAGAACCCCAACTGCACAGACATGCCTTCTAGTCTACGCGGCCACCATTTTTGGTAAAACGGAGTTCTATCTTGAGGAGGGTTAGGATTGAAAATAGAGGGTTAAGAGAAGGCAGGTGGGCTATTGGAGCTTCCCAACTCAGCCCTGTATGCAATAATGAATGAGTTAAAGCTGAAAACATAATAATGGCAGACTCACTGCTTGTTTGGTATAATATTGAGGGATGATGTCGGGGCTAGTTGTGCTTACTAAAATAGGTAGTGATCACAGACTAGTGAACAAATCTGAAGCTGATAGATATGGCCTGGAGGTGTAAGAACGAGAAAAAAAATAGAAAAAAAGAAAAAATATACTTTCAGAGTGTTTGAAGTGTGTAATTTAAGATATCAGGAAGTTACAACATTAGGCATATTTGATAAATTGGACTGCTGGAAGGGGTGAAGAGAACTCATGCAGTTGGGTACTGAAAGAAACTCTTGACACGTCTTGCTGTAACAGGGCAACTCATAAATAAATCAGACTGGGAGGAAAAAGCATACTCAGTGTTTTTTGTAAATACAGTTGAACAGGTGTGGTGAAAAGATGCTTGAAATAATTATACCTAGGGAGTGTCAGGAATGTGTGTTCAAGCTTATGAAATGTTTAATTTCAGCTGTCTTTGGGTGGTATATATATTGCCTTGAACTTTATTGTCATTTGCACTGGTGGATCTTAGTTTTTTGTAAAGGGGTGGGAACACAAGTAAAAATTAGTTTTGCCTCACTTTGCTGGGCAAATATAAAGCGACGGACAAAAATAATTTCACTGTAATACAGGCAAAGGGATGCAAAAATCACTTGGTCTGAGCTGGTCTCATTTTGATTGACATTTAGTTTTTTTGGACAGGAGAGGGCAAAGAAGAGAGTGCCTCCATACCAAAGAGGGGGGAACACAGCCCACTGAATATATATTAAAAGCAGTTTCTTGCAATATGTGATTTAATAATATTTATTGTAGATTATTTCATTAACCTTCTTCTTGTTCTACATATATATGTCAAATATTTCAAGAATATTAAGTAATATTAAGTGCACTGTATATTTACTGGGTATTTATTTGTTTGTTTATGTATTATTTTCTGCCGGTTTTTGTATACTTATCCTACATTATTTATCTTTAAATTTGTTATTTTTCAGGATTGGTGTCAACAACGTCAGCTGATGATGTTGGTAATAGCTGTTAATGTTTCCTTGGCAACAATGTTTTTCAACCTTCTGACCTGAGAGCATCTGAGTTCC